TATTGACTTGCTTACCGACAGAGAAAAGCTTGAGTTTTTGAATTATCTGTGATTAATTTGTTTGAAAACCAAAGTGATTTGTCATTCTTCATTTTGGCAACCCTTTGCGTTACCATTTGTATTCGGCTAGATGGATTATTTCCTCTTCTAAGAGACTGCAGTTAAAGTCTTTTTGCTTGTATATATGAGGCAGTTCCGTTTGTGGTTTTGACTTGTAGGATTATGATGGCAAAATTTGCTAAAATATTAAGCATGCCGGATATAATCATTGATATTGTTGTTTCTGCTTTTAACTTCCAGAAGTTTCAGTAGGATGCCGTCCAGTATTGGAAGACTGGAGAGGAGTTATCAAACTATTCTCTTCTAACCAAGAGTAACTGGAACAACAACATTTTGACATATTTCAGCTTCCCACTTCATGTATGAACTTTTTTATGGCACATGGAGAGTTGATTGCTTCACATAGAAAGATTCTTATGATTGCCAAGCTAGAAAAATGCAAAATGATGGCAGCGTCCGTGTACCTTTGATAGGATGACATATTTAGATAAAAGAACTTCACTGTTATTCAGAAGATAAAAGTTTCAACCAAAAAAAAAAAAAAAAGAGAGATTCATATATGTTGCAGATTCTTTGTGTTTTTTGGAATATTGAGAGCAATCCAAAATGATAAGGAAAAAAACAGCTAGTGGAGATTACTGTTTCATTGTAGTTCGTTATAATTATACTGATTAGCAAGAGAAAAACATGATTTGGGTTTACGAAATAACTTTTATTTTGGTTTAGTCCTTGTTTAATTTAACTTAACACATTTGATATTCAATTAAACAAAATCTAGCGATTTCTATCCAATAAAAGGACCCACATTAAACGTAAAAATAGCACGGTATAGCCAGTTTTCGGACTGGTCAATCAAAAATAGCCAGCGTTTATCAAGTCAATGAAAAATAGCCACTATTTTGCTGCAATAGAGACCGGTCCAGCATAATATACTGGAGTTCGATGCACTTGTGTATGAACTCCAGCATATTATGCTGGACCGGTATACTTTGCTGGCTCCAGTATAATATACTAGAGACTGGAGCACCGGTGCTCCAAACTCCGGTATATTATACTGGACCAATATACTTGCTGGAACTCCATCATATTATGCTGGAGTTCCAGCATACTTATTTTGGAACTCCAGTATAATATGCTGGAGTTCAAGTATACTTATGCTGGAACTCCAACATAATATACTGGAGTATTTTTCGGGTTTTGAACAGTGTTTTCGCTCAGATTTATCTTTATATAAAAAGTGACTAAATTTCGATTACTTTTGAAATTGGGCTATTTTCGAACGACCAGTTATAAATCTGACTATTTTTAAAATTTACCCACATTAAACTCCACGTCTCCAACCAAAGATAATTATGGGATTTTACTCAAAATTAGAGGAGAAGACCAAATCATACATCAATCTTTAGCTTTAGACTTAAAATAATACACATTCTCTAACATGGTGCACTAACAATCCTTTTTCTTTAACAAAGTGGTGCACTTTTAATTACAATCCTAAACATTAATAGTTTTTCAACAGGACGCAACTTCAATATTCTTTTCGCAACTCTCAACAACCTGGTGCAGGGAAGACAAATGAACTTCCAACAGTCATTCCATAGCCCCCAAAATATAGTTAACGAAATTGAGTTCCATATCTTTCTGGTAATTTTTTGGGGTTTTGCCACAGTTACTCACAAAAACAAAACTATTTATCCTTGTCTACCCATTTATTTTTTTACCCATAAACTAATTACATTTCCTACCCATAGTAGTTTTTGTGGGGAATTTTTTCTTTATTCTCCAATTTCTTTTTTATTTCTATGCTTCTTTTCTTTTTTCCTTTTTTCTTTTCTTTTCTCCTTTTCTTTTTTCTCATTTTCTTCCTATTTTTTTTCTTTTATTCATTTATTTTTGCCCAAATCGTATTATTGTTATTTTTACCATAACTTATTTCACACTCAAATTTGACTCCTTCTTTATTTTTTTATTTTTATTTTTTTTCTTTGTTTCTTGTTCCTTTTTTAATTCCACATGATTGCCATGCAAACCTTGATCTCCTTCCCTACAAATATTAGTACATACTCTACCATTAGCAGTAACACCAACCAGTGATGGAGCAAGACAATATAATCTACGGCCACTAAATCTCCATATATACTAGTTAGAATAGAAATGAATAAAATATTGGAAAATACAATAAAAATATAAGTAGCAAAAAAGACTTCTAGTACCACATGATACCAATATGGTATACATGTATACCAACAGAGTATATGATTGCTCTATAATATTGCTACAACTATCTATGACTATACTACTGTACCAAAACATTAAAGGATACAATAAAAGTATGAGAAAATTACATGCTCGTATTGCAAGCTAAATATTCGCAAAGCAACTTGCTCATTCCATATACTAACAGGGTATATAGTTGTATAGGTCGTTCCAACAATTGCCTATAATTATAAAAATTATTACATAATACACATAATCTATATCCATCAGCACAAAAATTTTCCAGCACTGCAAATCACGTTCATATAAATAATTTCAGAATAGAATTCACTTAAAAATGCAGCCAAAACAACCAAAAAAATGTTCAAACTACCATATGATACCAATATGGCATATAACTATACCAACATGGTATACAGTTTTACTAGTTAATTTCCGGCAACTATATGACTATACTACTATTACATAACACACATGCATAAAGAGAAAAATAAAAAAAATAGTGTACCACATATTAATGTGATAAAGTATTTCAAGATATTGAACTATATTACTCTTATTAAAAGAAAATCAAATATTGTACTAATAAATGTAGCTAATACAACCAAAAACTGATTCAACTAGCATATGATACCAATATAGTATATAGATATACTAATAGGGTATATAGTTGGAATGAATTGTATACCAAATGGTATATCTGTATACTATTTGTGTATACAATACAAATTCGTCTTCTTCTCTTGTTCAACTATATTTCAACCCAAACTTCTAAAATCTACTACAAAATCTCCACCAAATTGACTAAAACTTTAGCTACAACCTCCAATCAACTTTCCAAAAAACCCATATAGGATCGGATCAAAATAATTAAAAACTCAAACAAACCAAGTTATGAGTTTCGAGCTTCAAGGTCCTTCAATGGTGGATTTGAATTTTTGTACAATAAATCTCCAAAAACGAGTTTAGGTGAAGAGAAAGAAGAAGGTATTAGTGAGAAACAAGTGTTTCTCACTAATACCTTCTTCTTTCTCTTCACCCAAACTCGTTTTCCAGAATACTACAATAAGAGAAAATCATTTTAGAATTAAACCCCATAATAGAAATGGAAACGAATTCAAATGTTAACTCTAGAAAACTAATGGGTTTAGAGAAGAAGAAGAAAATAGAGGAAGAATGGAACTCCATTTACAGCTCTAAGCACCAACCCTCTCGTGCTGACTTCCTTCCCCAATTCATATTCGGTGTTGTTCTGCTTACCAGGTTTCTTTCACTTCTATTTCATTTTAACCGGATAAATAGTTTGGGCCCTATGGGTAGGAGTAGTAAATAGTTTGGGCCTGGGCATTAAAGGGTAAATAGTTTAGAATTAATATGTATAAAATGAGATTTTCTCTAATTTTTTGTGTCTCCAATCCCTCCAGTTGCAAAGCACTTGTTTAATATCCCCTGGAAACACCCATTTAATATTGTACATATGCAAGATATGGAAGATATCTTTACTCCTTACAAGAAAAGAGAAAGGAGTCTTCTTGTACTAATTATAATAAGAAACATTTTCAGCAGCATCTTTTAGCATTTAGCAGCAGTTTACTACTTCAAAAACCAATAAAAACAGCAACTAATGTCAGGTTTCATCACCAGCCTAAAAAAATAGCAAAAACAACAATCATTTCCAAAACTAAAAGTAACAGTCAAATTTCAGCACCAACTTCAAAAACAACAGTAGAACTGCAACACAACTTCAAAAAAAAATAGCAGTATTTTAGCACCAGTTACAAAACCAGCAATAACAACAGCAAAAATTCCTAAAACAGCTTAAAAATCAGTAAAATACCAACAATTAATTCTGCTACAGATGCGATTAGGGCTAGGTATAATTTTAGATCGGAGTTTTGGCTCCAACAGAGCTAGGTATTACTCTCTTCACAAGAAAGGAAGACAAAGGGACAGATTACATATTTGTTTGGAAGAAATGAAATCATGTGACATGTAACAAATTACACATGCAAGCTTAGATCTACAGAGTTGCCATGGAGTCTTCTGGAAGGTTCTGAGGGAGGAGAAGAAAGGGAACAGAAGATAGGGATAGAGAGAGAGAGCAGATAGATCGATGTGTTTTTCTGTAAAATGAGAACCTTCAACTAATTTCATTAATAGTACAAGTATATATACATGTTGACTATTTGACTAAGCTATAATTTGTAACTAAGCTAACTAAGTATACAATACAATAATGAATGTATGAATAATAACTATACTCAATACCCCCCTTCAAGTTGGAAGTGAGGTCTTCACAGCCAACTTGCCTAGAACAGCTGAATGTTTGACCCCTGTGAGGGCTTTGGTGAGAATATCAGCCAACTGATTGTGAGTATTCAAGTGATGAAGAGAGATGAGGCCTTCTTGTAGCTTGTTCCTCACATAATAGCAGTCGACTTCAATGTGCTTGGTCCTTTCGTAAAATACTGGATTATAGGCAATGTGTATGGCAGATTATCTATCACAAAACACCTGAATAGGACTTGATTGGGCAACAGTAAGCTCTGTAAATAGCCTGCTCAACCACACCAATTCCCAACTACTTTCCTGAGGGATCTGTACTATGCTTCAGCTGAGGACAAGGAAACAGTCTCCTGCTTCTTGGACTTCCAACTAACAGGGTTGTCTCCTACTAAAATAATGTACCCAGTAACAGACCTCCTAGAATCTGGGCAAGCTGCTCAGTCTGAGTCACAATAAGCCTTGATTGAACAGTCAGGACTGTTGTAGAAGAATACACCCAAGCTAGGATCTTTTTTGAGATACCTAAGGAGGTGAAATGATGCAGTCAAATGAGTGTCTCTTGGAGCTTGCATAAACTGACTTAACAGTTGCACACTATAGGCTATATCCAGCCTGGTATTGGTGAGAAAGTTAAGATTTCCCACCAATTTTCTGTAGTATGTGGGATCTGGTAGGAGATTACCCTTTTGTGCTTTTATCTTGACAATAGGATCAAGAGGTGAGGAGACATTGCTGTAGTCAAAACACTGGTATTCCTTCAATAAATTCAAAGCAAACTTCCTTTGAGAGATAAGGATACCATCAGGTTTGTATAGGACCTCTAGACCCAAGAAATAGTGAAGTCTGCCCAAATCCTTTATTCTAAACTTTTGATCAAGAAAGGCCTTCAAACTTGCAATCTCCTCTGAGTCAGTTCCAGTGATGATAACATCATCAACATATACAGCTACAAAGATGATGGATGTGGAAGTTTTCTTGCAGAAAAGGGAGTAATCATTTTCAGAATGTTGGTACCCCTTTGAAGACAATGCTTCAGTTAACTTTGCATACCATTGTTTACTGGCTTGCTTCAGTCCATATAATGATTTGTTTAGCTTGCACAACACTTGTGACGACCCAAAGGGTCATCACTTGTTTCTTTACTCATTCCGTGCTTCCGAGGCCTTGAAAACCTCATTTGGGATTGCCTCAATTTGCGTGCGCAGTCCGGGCGCGTAGCCGGAAAGCTTAAATATGAATTCTGTGAAGCAAATGCTAAATTTTGATATTAAATTGAGTAAATTTGACTTCGGTCAACATTTTGGGTAAACGAACCCGGACCCGTGATTTGACGATCCCGGAGGGTCCGTAGGAAAATATGGGACTTGGGCGTATGCCCGGAATCGAATTCCGAGGTCCCAAGCCCAAGAAATGAATTTTTGTGTGAAATTGTTTTCTGGAAATAATTAAGGAAATTGGAAATGAAATTTGATTAGAAGACTATGGTATCGGGCCCGTATTTTGGTTCCGGCGCCCGGTACAAGTCTTATATATGATTTAAGCACTTTCTGTAAAGTTTGGTTGAAAACGGACGTCGTTTGACGTGTTTCGGACTTAAAATGGAAATTTGATGTTTTATAAAAAACTTGGAAGAAATCATGAGTTTTGAGGCTTGATTCGATGTATATGATGTTGTTTTGGCGATTTGATCGCACGGATAAGTCCGTAGGATGTTTTTGAGGTTGTGTGCATATTTGGTTTAGAGCCCCGAGGGCTCGGGTGAGTTTTGGATAGGTGTCGGAGTGCATTTTGAACCTTGGGAAAATCTGATATTCCCAGTCCTGCAATCTTCGCATTTGCGAAGCAGGGCTTGCAAATGCGAGCTCGGAAATGCGAGCTTGCCATCGCAAATGCAAAAAGGGGTCTAGCCAGCTGGGATCGCAAATGCGACCTCTTGGTCCGCAAATGCGAAATCGGGCTAGTCGCAAATGCGACACATTAGCTCGCAAATGCGAATCACCCCAGATCCTTCAGAGTTCGCATATGCGAACTCACCTTCGCATTTCCCAAACCTGCAGGGTTCGCAAATGCGAACCCACCTTCGCATTTTCCACATCTGAGGCCTGCATATTTTACACTTAGCCGAATTTTTGAGTCATTTTAACATTCTTTCAAAACACAAACCTCTTTGGGCGATTTTCCAACAACAAGACTTCTTCCAAATCATTTGTAAGTTGGTTTTTACTCATTTCTTTCAATCTTTAACATCATTTAACATGTTTTCAACTTAAAATCAAAGATTTTCATGGGTGAAATTGGGGGTTTTGGGTAAAACCTAGATTTTTCTAAAATTGGGGATTTGGACCTCAATTTAAGGTCTGATTTCAAAATAAATCATATATTTGGGTTTGTGGGGGAATGGGTAACCGGGTTTTGGTTCGAACCTCGGGTTTTGACCACGTGGGCCCGGGGGCGATTTTGGAATTTTTGGGAAAAACTTTGGGAAATTTATTTTTATGCATTCAAATTGATTCATTTAGTATTTATTAAAGTAATTAAGTGACTTGTGACTAGATTCGAGCGGATTGGAGGTGGAATCGCGGAGTAAAGTTATAATTGAGGCTTGAGTTGTATTCAAGGCATTGAGGTAAGTGTTTGGTCTAACCCTAGCTTGAGGGACTAGGAGTTGAGTCTTATTTGCTAATTGCTTCTTGTCGAGTACGACGTATAGGCATGGTGACGAGTATCTATACGTTGGTGTCTAGCATGACTGTGAGTCTTTAAATTGTGAATATCTTGATTTCGTTGTATTCCTCTTACCTTGGTGATGATTCCTATTTGTTGTGGAAAGCTTGTGAAAGGAAATTGTGACCTATGAACATCGAGGAGCATTGGCTCAAGTTATATCACACATGTGAAAGTATATGAAATGATTAAACCCCTTTGGAGCATTGGCTCAAGTGGTAAAGTGAGATATGAAATAAAAGTGAAAGAAAGAGAAAGAGTATTTAAATTGTTCCCTTGCCGGGACGTTGAGATTATTGATGTTGTACCCTTGCCGGGATTTAATTGTTTAATTGTGTTCCCTTGCCGGGATTTCTATCATTATTTTGTTTATTCACTTGCCCCTTGTTTGTGATTGTTGTTTGGGTGAGGAAGAGTGTAAAGCACGAAGGGTGATGTCGTGCATTGTTTGCTATTGTGAGGAAAGAGTGTAAAGCATGAAGGGTGATGTCGTGCATTGTTTGCTATTGTGAGGAAAGAGTGTAAAGCACGAAGGGTGATGCCGTGCATTGTTTGCTATTGTGAGGAAAGAGTGTAAAGCACGAAGGGTGATTCCGTGCCGCACGATGTACCCTTCCGTGCCAATTCTATTGATTATATGTGAGGAAAGAGAGTAAAAGCACGAAGGGTGATGCCGTGCACATTTTATTATTCTAACTGCTTGGTGAGGACGAGAGTAAAAGTACGAAGGGTGATGCCGTGCACTTGTCTTTGATTTTTCCTGATTTGTGCTGATAATTGAGTTATGTTGTCCTCTACTTCTATTTATTGCTTTTCTTGTTGTTATCAGTTCAAGTGCATTAGTTGTCTTATTCCACTATTACCGAGTTTCCTTATGTTGGCATTTTCCTTTATTGTGTTACTTGTTATTATCGGCTCGAGGTATCCTTGCGCAACATTATGCCTTGAAATTAGGCTATAATTGCTACATGTTTATGTGATTTAATTGCTACTTGACATTTAGCATATTAAATATTAAATTGCCTATTTGCTCCTTAAAGCCCATAATTAATTGCTACTTGTCATTACTTGTTTTCTTCACTGAGTCATAATTATTGTGTACTTGTTGTCTTATGAATTCGTACAAATTGTTGCATTTGTTGGAGTAATTTCATTTGGAAGAACTGTTGATTTAATGAAATGGGAGCGGGTGGTACGCCTACCACGGAAACATTGAGAAATGGGATCGGGTTGCACGCCTGCAACGAGATATGTTTTGACAGTGAAATCTGCTTTTATTTCCCTTATCCGTGTTAGAGTTAAATTATTGATGTTCTTTATTATTTTCTTGAAATTCTATATTATCTGCTATCCCCGAAGCATGTTCCCCTCCCATTTAAAAATATTTGTTCTTGTTATTTTCCCGTTGTAGATACACATATATAACTGTACAGGTTGATGTGGTAGTCCTGTCTAGCCTCGTCACTACTTCGCCGGGGTTAGGCTAGGCACTTACCAACACATGGGGTCGGTTGTGTTGATACTACACTCTTGTGCTCTTTTGCACAGATCCAGGCACAGCAACAGCAGTGGTAGATCGGGAGCCAGTCTCTAGTCCTCCGAGACGCCGAGGTAGCCTTGCAGGCGTCCGCAGGACCGGTGTCTCCTCTATCTTTATTTATGATCTGTTATCTCTTGTATTCGAGACAGACAGTGTTACTCTCTTTCGAACGGTTGTATGTAGTAAATCTTAGTAGTTCGTGAGTATTGTGACACCAGTCTTGGGTAGAGGCCTTTGTTGAAATTTTCCGCATTTCTATTCAGTTTTCTATAATATTGAGACTTTCGCTTATTATTTAATTTCGTTGCTTTTGTATTATTGCCGATAATTGTTAAAAGGAATTATGTTATTAATGAAAAAGTAATTAAATTTGGCTTGCCTAGCTCTCATTGGTAGGCGCCATCACGGCTCCCGAGGGTGGGAAATCCGGGTCGTGACAAGTTGGTATCAGAGCTCTAGGTTATATAGGTCTCACAACTCACGGACAAGCTTAGTAGAGTCTGAGGGATCGGTACGGAGACGTCTGTATTTATCCCCCAGAGGCTACAGAGTTAGGAAAAGTTTCACTTTTATTCTTCCCTGTCGTGCGATTTTGTTCTCTCAATGCTAAATTGAAACCTCCACTCTTGTCCTTTTGCGAATGGCGAGGTCATGCACCACTTCTTCAGCTGAGCAGCAACACAAACCAGTGATAGATCAGCTTCGTCTTTGGAGGCTTTGTGGAGGTAAAGGTATTAGAGGTGGAGGTAGTGATGCTAGAGGTGGAGGTAAAGGTATTAGAGGTGGAGGTGCAGGTACCGTTCTGGTTTGTGGTAGAGAAGCTTCGGTTTTATTCTGCGCCGTATCTGGTCATGCCTAGTGATTTATTGAGTGTTCCTGTTTATGTGTCTACACCGGTGGGTGATTCTATTGTGGTCGATCGAGTCCATCGTTCTTGTATTGTGGTGATTGGAGGTTTAGAGACTCGAGTAGATTTGTTGCTTTTGGGACATGGTTGACTATGATATTATATTGAGGATGGACTGGTTATCACCTTACCACGCTATCTGGGACTGTCATGCCAAGACTGTGACCTTAGCTTTACCGGGTATGCCTCGTTTAGAGTGGAGAGGGACTCATGGTCATTCTACCCATAGTGTTATCTCTTAGGTGAAGGCTCGACGTATGGTCGAGAAGGAGTGTTTGGCCTATTTGGCATAGGTTCGTGATTCTAGTGCTGAGGTCCCTTCTATTAAATTCCGTGCCCATTGTTCGTGAGTTTCCTGATGTGTTCCTTTCAGACCTGCCGGGTATGCCACCCGACAGGGATATTGATTTCTACATTGATTTGGCTCCGGGCACTCAGCCTATTTCTATTCCGACGTATCGTATGGCCCCGCCTGAGTTGAAAGAGTTAAAGGAACAGTTGCAAGATTTGTTTGAGAAGGGCTTCATTAGGCCCCGTGTTTCGCCTTGGGGTGCGCCGGTATTGTTTGTTAAAAAGGAGAATGGGTCAATGAGAATGTGTATTGATTACCGGCAATTGAACAAGGTTACAAACAAGAATAAGTATCCATTGCTGAGGAATGATGATTGGTTTGATCAGTTTCAGGGTGCCAAGGTATTTTCAAAGATTGACTTGCGATCTGGCTACCATCAGTTGAGGATTAGGACATACGATGTCCCTAAGACAGCTTTTTACACTCAGTACGGGCATTATAAGTTCTTGGTTATGTCATTCGGGTTGACGAATGCCCCAGCAGCTTTCATGGACTTGATGAACCGAGTGTTCAGGCCTTATTTGGATTCATTCGTGATAGTGTTCATTGATGATATATTGATATACTCCCGCAGCCAGGAGGAGCACGAGCAGCACCTTAGAGTGGTTCTTCAGACTCTGAGGGATAGTCAGTTATACGCTAAGTTCTCGAAGTGTGAATTCTGGTTGGGTTCAGTTGCATTTCTGGGCCATGTTGTGTCAGCAAAGGGTATTTAGGTGGACCCAAAGAAGATAGAGGCAGTCAAGAACTGGCCTAGACCAGCATCAGCTACAGAGATTCGGAGTTTCTTGGGGTTGGCAGGCTACTATCGACGGTTCGTGGAGGGATTTTCATCTATTGCACCCCCGATAACCAGATGGACCCAGAAGGGTGCCCAGTTCAGATGGTCGGATGAGTGTGAGACGAGCTTTCAGAAGCTCAAGACAGCTCTGACTACGGCACCGGTGTTGGTTTTGCCCACAGGTTCAGGGCCCTATACAGTTTATTGTGATGCTTCCCGTATTGGGCTTGGAGCAATGTTGATGCAGGATGGCAAGGTCATTGCCTATGCTTCGAGGCAGTTGAAGATTCATGAGAAGAACTATCCGGTTCATGATTTGGAGTTGGCAGCCATAGTTCACGCATTGAAGATTTGGAGGCACTATTTGTATGGCGTGGCGTGTGAGGTGTTCACTGATCACAAGAGTTTTCAGTACTTGTTCAAGCAAAAGGAGTTAAATTTGAGGCAGAGGAGGTGGTTGGAGTTGTTGAAGGATTATGATGTCACCATTCTATATCGTCTGGGGAAGGCCAATGTGGTGGCCGATGCATTGAGTAGGAAGTCAGCCAGTATGGGCAGTCTTGCTTATACTCCGGTAGGT